ATTGTAATGAATTAGTGCATAATGATTGTATGTTAAGCAAAGATTCTGATTGCATGTTGAAAAAAGAAGATTCTAATAATATGTTAGTTGAAGATAATTCTAGTAATGAGATGCTATATGAAGTTGATATGTTGAGTGAAGATGATATGTTAAATGAAAATGATATGTTGAGCAAAGACGGTATGTTGAGCGAAGATGATATGTTGAGTGAAGATGGTATGTTGAGTGAAAATGATATTCTGAGTGAAGAAAACATACTGAGCGATAGAGGCCTGCGTTGGGTTTTGCAGCCTGGCCCGGCCAGGCCTGAAGCAAAATTTTATAATTGCAGGCCGGGCCGGGCTGAAAAATTTGCAAAACTTTATAATTGCAGGCCAGTGTGGGCCTGAAAATTTGTAAAATTATATAATAAATTTTTTAGGCTGGGCCGGGTTGGGCCAGGCTGAAAAAAAAATTTAACATATGTGGGCCGGGCCGGGCTGGCAAAAAAATAGTAACCCTAAATGCAGGCCGGGCTTAAAAAAAATTTTTAACCCTAATTGCGGGCTGGGCCAGGCCTTAAAAATAGGCAATTTGCAGGCTCCTACTGAGCGAAGACGACATAATGAGCGAAGATTATGTGTTGAGCAAAGATGATGAATTGAGTAAAGATTATGTGTTGAGCAAAGATGATATATTGAATGAAAATGATCTGTTAAGCGAAAACAACATATTGAGTGAAAACAATTCTGATAGAGAAATTGTTGATGAACCTTTGAGTAATAAAAAAATGCCACATATTGATAGAGAATTCACTCCATATTTTAGCAATCTTATAGAAGCAAAGATGTTTTGTTGGGTCCAAAAGCATAGCATAAGTAGGTTTAAATAATTTACTAACAAAATATTTATTTACTAATTTTTTTATGTTTTGTTGGGTTCAAAAGCATAACATATTTATTTGCTAATTTTTTTATATTAGCAACTCAGGCATATGATGACTTAGCGAATATAATTAGTCATTCTCAGTTTAAATAGGAAGATGTTATTAAAAACATTAAATGTTTTAGAGAATATAGACAAAGACTTCCTTTGCTTCTAATTAAATCACATCAAATTTATATTTCTAGCAAACAGACACTATCAACATCATGAAATATTAAGAAGGCCTACTGTTTGTTTATTTGTGATATTATTTAGTATGCTCTTAATAATCCTTCAACATTCAATAAAATGTATTTTGGTCCAGGCCAAGAAGTTACAAACAATTATAAACTATGGCATAGAACCATTTAGAAGAAATCATCATGATTTGGACAAGAGTTAGTTATTATAGGCGATGGTAATTTAGGCATCAGAGTTTTTTTTATATTTATAAAAACATAACAATTAAATAATATTTTTGGTTTTTTTTTATTAATAAAATATCATTCTGGTAATTTTATAATTTATTGGGAGTCTACAACAAAGAGGATCGATTGCATTTTATCAATAGTTCAAAAAAAAGGCATCCTTAAGATTAACATTCAATGCATTTTAACATTTAAAGAATTGGCAAGAAGCATGCAAAGTAAAAATCGCAAAGAAAGGTCAATTGGAGACGAGATATGGATGCTAGATAGAGAAATGAATAATGCGACTGTAATTACTGAACTGCAGGCAATTGTTAAGCGTATTATGGTTACTATTTTGTATAATAATAATATAAAGGAAAATTCTTTAATTATTATTTGTGAGATTTTATATAAACATAATAATAAATGGAAATTAAGGAATATCACTTATTCTTACAAACATTCTTCAGAGTTTGCTGCCTTAAAAGAACCTACTACAAGCTTGCCAATTTATAAATTATATATAGATCTTTACTATGATGACTTTGGGACATTTCGTAATGTCTATCACTCACTGAGAGGCATTTATGTTCAAATCGAAAACATGATGTTTGATTAAAGAAAAAAACTTAAGAATCATTTTGTACTTGGGTTTGTACCTTTTGGTGGTTTCTTCGACGAATTTATCTGACCTTTTGTAGCTGAGATGAAAGACTTCGAAAAAGGGAAAATAATGAATGTACAAGGCACTGTAAGTCTTGTATTCACAAGCCTCGGAGACATAACTTCTGATCTGCCTTAGGGGAATTACATGGTTGAAGTTAAAAAACATAATGCCACAAGGGGCTGTTGTACTTGTAATCTAATGAAACATTGCTGGACATCTGATAACGTTGATTTATTGATAAATTCTTGTTATCAGCATTTTACAAATAAACAATATAAAGAGATTTCAAAAGCATCAACACTAACAAGACGCAAAGAAATTGCTGCAGAATATGGATTACATTTGCAATCTCTAATCCTTAATAAATTGAGATAGGAAAGTCATTTACAGTCACTGCAAGATGTATATCATGCAACAGCAGGCAAAATTTTAAGGCTTTTTAAATTAACAATTGATGCACTTTCGACGGAAGGGAAATCTGCTTCATCGTAATTTGGAAATCTTTTGAATATCCTAGAAATTAGTCAAAATTACTGAATCCAATTTCACATATTGACAGCTTTATGATGTCTGACTGCTTAAGATTGGCAATGATGTTTCTATTTATTCTTAATAGATTATTAAAAATTTAATATTTCAAACAATATGAGAATTACAACTTACAACAACGCTTAGGTATAACACGTAATGATTTTGCTTTAAGATCCTGGTTAAAATGTTGGATAGTTATATCCAAAACAATAACAATCTCATTTAAAAAATATTTTACGAAAGAAGATTACAACAAGTTGCGAGAATGCCTAGAACATGAATGAAAAATTTTAGTATAGGTATTTAACTAATTTTTAGATTATCTTTTTAATGCAGATCTACATTTTAATTAGGATTAGGTAGTAATTTGTATCAATAAAGTAACCATCTATAATGTGGACTTCATCTTTGTATTATATTTATTTATTCATTAATATTAATATTCATTCATTAATTTATCATTATTGTTAAAAAAATATATAGTTCTTTGAAGACTTCAAAGATCTTCTGAATTTGCATATCAATTTTCACATGGTTC